TGTTGTTTGTACCTGCCGAGCTTATGGGGGCTTGGTTAAGTTGATGTTTGATCATTTTGTATTCTTAGATTCAGTAGTGGATTAGCATGCTTATCTAAAATTTTGACTTCCTTACGTGATTGCTTTTGGTATATTATGATACTTGCTCACTTAGTCTATAACCTTTCATACATTTTGTACTGGCGCCCCATTGCCTTGTGGGCGCTGCATTCATGCATGCAGGTCCCGACAGACGACACAGTAGACCTCCTCAGCAATAGGATTGACTTCTATCCGATTGGCTAGCCCCTTTCCTCCGGAGCTGCCAGAGTTGGGAGGTTTGTTACCTTTTGTTGTATATATCTTTATGGGAAGGCTGGGGCCCTGTCCCGCCAATCTTTACTACTCTTAGAGACTTGCAGACTAGTGTGTGGGGTGTATAGCTACGTTAGGGCCATACTGGCCTCGTTTGTTGGTTTGCTAAAGCTTGTGAGCTGTTTGATGTATTGTCTTGATATATACATGCTTTCATTTTTGGTATAGATATCATGGTGGCCTCGACGGCCCAATCAGGACTTCTGTGCTAGTTGGCTATTTATTTATATGATCTCCTAAGAGTAGTTGTTTCTTTTATAGATTAGTTGACTGGGGCCTTGCCGGCCGAGGGCTTAGTTTTAAGCTGAGATATACTTGTTTGTTTTCTTAATTGCGTGTGGCTGCCATGCGCTAGGAGCAAATGGTTCAGCAGGGTCGGCTCGGGCCTTAGTTTTGGCATTAGGAGCTAGTTGGGCCCTCGAGTTTGGGGCGTGACATATATGAATTCTGTGTTTATACATTTATGATTTTTTTAGAACTCTGTTTGTATATTTCGTTTGTCAATATACAAATATTGTAATTTTTCATAAATCGTATGTAAATAGGTAGGGTAAGCATATACAAATTCTGAATTTTAACCAATTTTTTTTCTTTTTCTTTTTCAAATTTTTTTCATGTATCAATATTTTATAAATGGTGTAAAAATAATTATGTAGTGTATATGTAATTTATCATTAATAAGTAGTTATATAGTGTATATGTAATGTATCGATATTGTATAAATAGTGTATAAATGTGCATTAATATTATATAAAATAGTGTATAAACACGTATATGAGATGTATAAATAGTTATGCAGTGTATATGTTATGTATCAATATTGTATAAATGATGTATAATTGTGTATCAACATTACATAATTGTTTATGTAATGTATCGATATTGTATAAATAGTGTATAAATGTGCATTAATATTATATAAATAGTGTATAAACACGTATATGAGATGTATAAATAGTTATGCAGTGTATATGTTATGTATCAATATTGTATAAATAGGTATGTAATGTATCAATATTGTATAAATGATGTATAATTGTGTATCAACATTACATAATTGTTTATGTAATGTATCGATATCAAAATTTATTTGCTTATCATGCATTCCCTCCTTAATAAATAGATGAATAAATAAAAAATAAATAAAACGACATATATATTTATTTTTCCACAAAAGAAGTGAAACGATTAGAAAAGGAAAAGAGATTTAAAAAGAGCAACAATTTTTTTAATAGCACAAAAAAACAGAATAAAAGATTAAACAAAATGGCAATGCATATCGATATTTATTTGACTATCATGCATTTCCATGTTAATAAATAAATAAAATTAAAAATGTATTCTAAGCACAAACCTGAGAACATCTCAGCCTTTTCAATTTCAGAAAGGAAGGATTAATTACATCAAACATGACCATTTTGTCCGAATTGGGCCATTTTGGGTAATTCTGTAAAGTTGGACTAGAAAAGTGGTAAACAAATGTTATGGGTTGTCAGCTCTGTAATTTTCCCTATATATTACTCCATTTATTTCAATTTATGTGGCACATATAGAATTAAAGGAGTTCACCAAATTTTTATATATTTTTAAAATATTGTAAGTTGTTAATTATTGTGATTTACAGTACTTTTAACGTAATTTTTAAATAATATATGTTACTCACTTTGTCCCAATTTATGTGGTACCTATGAAACTTTGAGAGTCAACCAAATTTTTTAATATGTTTTATAAATATTCTAAGTTTTAATTTTTGTGATTTATAATGCTCTTAATTAATGTAATTTTCAAATGATATATGTTACTCTCTTTGTCGCAATTCATGTGGTACATGTGAAATTTCGAGAGTTAACCAAATTTTAATATGATTTCTTAAAAATATTTTTAAGTTGTTAATTACTATGATTTATAGTACTCTTAATGTAATTTTCAAATAACGCATGTTATTCCATTTGTGTCAATTGATGTGGCACATGTGAAATTTCGAGAGTTGATTAAATTTTTAATATATTTTTAAATATTTTATTTTGTTAATTATTGTAATTTATTGTCACGATCCGAGTCTATACCGCAACGGAGACACAGTACCTGGAGCCACAGGTGATCCCAAGCTAACCCTTGGCATGCCATATCTAAGCATGTCATATGAAAACTGAAGTACTAGCTATAAACCAAAAGCATAACTGAAATAAAATTCTAGAATAAGTCTATTACAACTAAATACTAATGTCTGAAGCCTCTAAACTAAATAATACGATTTTTCGGGACAAGACTTCGGGGTGCCTAAAGTCTAACATAATTGAAGTGAATAAAATCTAATGACTCATAACTGAAGTCCTCTGAATGGAAGGAGGACTCACCATAATGCTAAAAGTAGAGGAACTTAGTGGACCGCTTGCCCGCGAATCTAAATCAAGGTGCTGAAATCTACTTCATAAAACTATAAAATGCAAAGTAGCGTCAATACATGAAATGTATTGGTATTCAAGATAAGGACTGGTATCAACAATTATTCAAGCAACTAAAGAACTATAAATGTGAGCATGAATTATACACAATAACACAAATAATAACTGAAGAACTGAGAGTCAAAACTGTGACATATGACATAATATTATAGAAACAAAAATGTATATTTGAGATCATATTTTTTGAAATCATATCTGAAAGAATGCATATATGAAAATCATGTTATATGAAAATCTTATACTAATAATATCAAGAAAGCATAAAGTAAATTAAGTAAATCTTTTAGGTGAGATTTTCTCTTAACCGACATACATCTTGTGAGCTCATGATGCACCAATTTACAATTCCAGTTGGGGAGGCTGCTTTATTCCTTGCCAGGATATAGAACCTATCTATCTAATGTGGATCTTCTAATATGAGACTCTCGAGGCTAAAGGGTTAACCGATAAAGTGGTGAAACATAATTCTACGGTGGCACACAATTTTAAAACTTGGTCTATCTAGAATCCAATTTTACTCGGTGATAAATACTACTCCTAAAACATACTATCTATATAGCTCATAACATATCTATTAACCTTATAATGCGTCTTGCTCAAAAAACTTTTTCTAAAACATATCTTGTTCTGAGACTATGCTCAAATCTTTCTTTCTAAAATCATATGTTGAAATCTCTTTCTAAAACATATCTTTTCAAATCATGCGAAAGTTTTCTAGAACATGCATAACTTTCATAATAACATAAAAGCTCTAAAATCATGCTTTAAAATATAAGTTTCAAGAATCATGTCAAGAACTAATAAGAATGACAATGTAAAATCTTGCTAAACATGAAAATGAAATACAATAGTCAAAATCCATAATCATGAGTAAGTAAATTCACAGAATTATGCAATTGGATCATAAAAATGGTGAATTTGAAAGTGGGCTTATAAACCCTATCCATAGAATTGAATTTATGGAGACTAAGGAATTTCAGACATGAGGATGAAAGGAATTCCTCATTAGAGTACTACATACCTTAGTAAGGAAGCTTGATAGAGAATGTTGAAAGATGAACCCTAGCCTTGGTGTTTCTTGAGGTTCTTGAGCGTAGAATTTTTTGGAGTGAATGAGAGGATTTAATTATGAAAAACTGATTGTCTACACGTTTTGAACAATTTAGATAACTCCACAAGGATTTTAGGAAAAAAATACCCTAAAATAAATAAATGATAAGAGCTGGAAAACAATTCTTTTTTATTCAAGTGGACAATGAAGTTCGTATTCACTCCGTATCGCAGATCAGTTGAAGCGTCTCTGATAAAACAGTTATAACTTTTTGTTCCCAACTCAAAATGATGAAAATTTTGTGGCGTCGGAAAGAAGACACATAAAGGTTTAATTTTATAAGTCATGGTCCACCTAATTCACTATAATATGAGAGATATGGTCGTTTGAAGTTGACTATGATATGAACTCATGTGAACACTTAGCCAATAAACTTGCTTTGAACTTGACTTGGTTTTTGAGGTACCTTACGACCCTAAACTACACCCGTACACTTACTACACTTGGTTAAGGACCTTAACATATATGTACAACTTAGAAATCATCGGGTTTGGGCTATACACATACAAAGGATGGTTCAAATCTTTGCTTAGAAGTTGCAGGCTGTTACATTTATAATATTATTTAGTATATAAACACATAACATACTAAAAAGGAAAATAAGATAAATAAATTAAAATAGAAAAAATATTAAATATATAAATAGAGGAGAAGGAAAAATTGCTCAATTGACTAACTGACTCTAAGCTTTATATTCGCTTCTATATAATAGAGTAATACTATAGTAGAATTAAGATTGCTTCTTACCGACTGACATGTGTGCTTCTTAGAATTAAAATTGCATTTAAGGACACGTTTATTATTTAAGTATTAAAAAGAAATTTTTAATAATTTATATATTAGTAATTATGTAAAAAATATTATAAATCACAATATTTAATAATTTAAATATTTCTAAAATAATTACGGTCAAAGAAAAAATTGATTGACTCTTGAAATTCTATCTATGTCACATAAATTCAGTTAAAGAGAGTAATATATATATATATATATATATATATATATATATCGGAAAAGGGTCAAAAATACCCCTGAACTATAGATAATGTGTAAATTGTAGTGGTACAATCATGGATCCACAAAAGAAATCACTGAATGCAGAGATGCAAATACAATCAAAAGTAATCTATAAGATCGATGTTGCCATTGTCGTTCTCTTAACTGAAGACGAAAGTTTATAAATAAAATAGGAAAAGTCACACCAAATTTCTTCTCTCTATTCTTTATCAATTCCGACAACACCTCGGACCAAAATCATGGTGTGTTGGGCCTTTTTGCTTAACCAAGCGGGCCATTAAAGCAGCACTCTCTCAAACCGATGAAACATGGAGGCAATGGCTAAACAATAAATTGACAGAAAAACAACATGTTCTGTACGTAGCATTTGGTACTCAGGCAGATATTTCTGCTGAGCAAATACAAGAAATTACAAAGGGACTTGAATTATCCAACACATGTTTCTTATGGGTAACAAGACAAAAATGTTATCGAGCATTTGGCAGGGTTAGAGGACAGAGTAAAAACAGAGCATTAATAGTGAAAGAATGGGTAGATCAGAATGAGGTGTTGAATCACAAAAGCAACAAAGGGTTTTTGAGTCATTGTGGATGGAACTCTATTTTGGAAAGTATATGTGCTAAAGTGCCTATTTTTGGGCACTACCATTTTATGGCTGAGCAGCACTTAAATGTAAGAATGGTGACGGAAGAAATTGGGGTGGGGCTGAGGATCATGCTGAGAAATGGATCAGTGAGGGGATTGGTGGAAGCTGAAGAAGTTGAGAAAATGGTGAGAGAGTTAATGGAAGGTGAAAAGGGAGAAATGGTGAGGAAGAATTGGGAGAAAATGCAGAGGAAGAATTAGACCCACTTGTGGATTGTTGCTGCCATGTTGGGAAGTTTTGTCCATTTGAATTTCCAAGTCAGCAAAAAAATATTGTTTTATGTGATTTTTTAAGTGACATGGCATCTGTTAGTTTTGAGGGGTAAAAGTGAGCCAATATACTAACGGTAAGGGTATTTTTGACCCCAAAATCAAACGGAGGGTATATTTGATCCATTTCTAATAGTTCAGGGGTATTTTTGACCCTTTTCCCTATATATATTGCGCTTGTGCTGGAACATGCTCCTATATCTAGTTTTCAATGTAATGAAGAATAGTTTTTTTTTCTCATTACTAGATATATGCAAGTATAGGGGTTTATACAGTGTCACATACGAGACTGACACTCGATGTCATTGCTATCCCAAGCGTACTCATAACATGTCATTAGATTTGAGAATACATCTAGACATCATGGAAAACATAGTTTAAAAGCTTTGAATGGACAAGTCTTGTAAAAGAAACATTTTTTTTATAAATATAAGGTCATAGTACTAAAATCACTAACAAAGAACACAAAGGTTCAAATTTAAGCATAACTAACTACCTATCTATGAAACTTTTAAGTAATGTCTACTAAAACAAGGCCCATGACATACCTTAAGCACATAATCATAAAGTACTAGAAAGTTGTAGACTAAGCTCCTAGAAATAAAAAGGGACTGTCATGACCTGAAATCAAATCGTGATGACACCTACCATAAGCCCTAAGTAGGCAAGTCACCAAGATAACACACGTTAGATGAAAATAGAATAAAATAAAGTAGAAGCAATAATAGAATGAGAAATGGCCCCTAGCATATATATGGGCCCAAAAGATCTCGAAAGATGAATTTATAAAGGAACCAAACTCAGGACTTTGTGTCACCGGTATAAGAGCATCTAAAGTATGAAAATACAACTATACAAAACATGCATGTCTAAAAATATATATACAAAATATAGAAAATAAAATACATAAGGAAAGCAGCAAGCCTCCAAATGCCAAGAGCTCACCACAATCCGAACAACAACGACCTCGAATGATAGTAGATCAACGAGGAAAACTTTTACTAGGCAGTGCATTAGAAAAAAGATGTAGATATATAGTATGAATATCAAAATACAGGATACTCAGTAGGCATTATAAGTCGACTGAGATATATAAGAAGATATTATATACTATAAGAAGCGAGATAGAGAGAACACTATCTAGAAAAGCATACTCACAACAATAATGGTGAAGATAATAATAATAATAAAGGAAATCACACATCATATATGCATGTAAAAAATGGTTGTATAATATGGAATGATGCAATGCATATGTGACAATTGCATGAAGTAAAAATTCCCAAAATTGTCTCGTTAACCGCCCTGTAGGCTCCCCAAGTGAATTTTGTACCTACTGTCGCTCAACTATAGATGCAATATAAGTAAAACTAGAATGATCCCTCAGACCATCCAAATGATTCCTCGGACTCATAACATAAAGTAAACCTTAAAATGATCCCTCGGGTTGTCCGAAATGCACTCATAACAAAATATGGAATAGGCCTTGAGGGTAATGTCGGAGCCTCTGCCTAGCCTATACCAGGGTTAAGGGCAAAAATCTCTTCAAAAGCTGAAATCCGCGAAAAATGGTACATTCTTTCATAAAACTAATTTCCCATCATTAAACAAGTAGTATACTCCCTTAGAGTCAAAATCCACTAAAACCAAGACAAGGTAGTTTAAAAATCAAAAATCAATATTTTCTTTTGCCGCCACCTCTTGCTATGGTCAAACGTGAGCGCTATATACATAAATGTGTGCCAATCACAAGTATACAAATAAATACACAAAAAATTTACATAAAATAGGGTAAAACACCATCATAGTACAATCGTACTAACCTGAAACTCCTACCGGTTCAAACCCAAGGCCTCAGGCCCTCAAATCTCAACACAAGAGATAACATAACCATCAAAAGAAGAGAACATAAAAATACTAATCAATACATCAACTACTTATATCATTAAGTTTACTTTTAAGCATTCTAAGGTTTCTATAATCTAGTCTCAAGGCGAAAAACAACCAAAACTAAGGCTTAAGGATAAAGTAAAATTTTAAAGTCCTGAAAATGGCTAATTTGTAAATATTGATCATGCAAGCTTCAATCCATCTTAAAATCCTCCCTAACGATCATGAAAATCATAATATATAAAATCTAATTAAGCTAACTCTAAAAAACAAAGCCATATCCTACTTTAAAAGCAAACCGTAATCTCAAACCTTCAATTAGAAGCTTTTCCTTTTTGAGGAGATTCGAATCCATGTCACACTAATAAAAATAGAATCTACACATTAATACAAGATTAGCGATTCTTATATCGCTGACACAAAGTTTGAATTAAAAATTGAGTAAAAAATGAAACCCTTAGAGCCCATTGACAAAATAGAAAACTAACTCTGCCATTATATTTTTTTTCTCAAGGTGAGGATGACATGCCCCAAATTGGACAAAGACAAAAAAAAAAATTGGACCTCAAATGGACCAAAAATCTCACTTTAAAGAAGAGAAGACTTAAGAATTTTGGGGTCTGATACCGTTTAACTACATATGTAAAATTCAATGTGTAGAAGATTGTACTTAATATAAAATCCAACAAAGAGATTCCTTCTAGGTTATTGTGGTGGGACTCTGATGAGTTCACGATTTGGACTCATTTAGGGCTTTATTTAGATAGATTTAGTGTCCTCAAATGCTTATTTTGTGCCAATAACTTATGTAAAATCCTTGTTTTCCAGGTATTTAGATTGAGGAACAAAGCATGGACACTAACGAGCAAAAAGAAACAAGGCAACTGAAAGAACGAAGAAAAAAAGGCTTGTTGATCGCCTAATCCATTGGGCGAGTCGCCGAGTGGCTATTACCTCGCCTAAAGTTCCAATGTGCCAAGCCCTGAAGGAGAAAATCAAGTCGGCAAGAGAAATGAGCAGTCGCCGAGTCGCCGAACAGTTCTGCGATGCAGTGATTGGATCGCCCAAATTTACAAAACTTGAAGATGCTGAAGGCCAAAGCAAAAAGGCTATGTAACTGACCAAAGGGCGGATCGCCGAGTTGATCGGCGATTCCGACTTACTGCGCTGAATGGTCCTTCACAACATATTTTTGGCGAC